CTTTCAGTAGGGAAGAAGGAAAGTAGTTAATATTATTAACAGGCCATAGTGAACCTTTCACTCTTGACAAACTGAGATTCTATTGGTGTCCTACCTATATCTCTGCCGGTTGAATTTCACCATACTCAGCACTGCTGCCATGATGAAAAACATGAGTATAGGGTCTAACAGGATGTACTGGGAGATGGTGATGCAGCCAGTGTCTGTCAGAAAGGTGTTGAACACATTGATTCACCTCAACTCAACATACACAGTAATCAAAGGAGGTATCAGCTGAAAAGGAAGACGATGGCCAGGATAGAAAATCATTTTTAAGTCAATCTGAGTCTGAGTCATAGTGTAGTCATTTCTTCACTGCTTACATACTGTTCGTATGTGTAAGAAATCCATAGCAACTTTCATCATAAGACAATTAAATGATGATTTACCAAATATGAGCAAGGTAGCAGCGATGGTAGCAGCGGTGCAGGAGTTAGACAGCTCCAGCACTATAAGGTAGGCAAAGATGGGGAGGAAGGAGCCCAGCGTGGCGCAGAACTGCAGGAAAGGAGGAAGAACAAACAAATCAGCACCTTGAATTCATTTCTTAGGTATTTCTTACATTTGTCTATGAAAATTGCATCGGCAATCAATTAGAAAATTCCATGTCGACTGCATACATGCTTCCAGTCTGGCAATCTCTGAGACATTTCTTCATAAGGAAACTACCAATTTTGAGCTTTCTAATATTTTAAGTTTGCATATAAAATATACATATTTTGTGATGAAGTTAGGGGCATTATACATTTTCCCCAAACTAATTTTTTAAAATATTTACATTTTTCTTTATAAGCACAGCCCCAGAGGGTATATTTCAATACTTGTGAAATTGACAGACTTTATGAAAAAGAGCATACATTTAGTATGGTGGTTAGCAATACCTCACAGAAAGAACGTTGGGTTCAAATCGACCATCCTACTGGGACCTTTCTGAGTGGAGTTTGCATGTTTTCCAGGTACTTTGGCTTCCTCCCACAATCCAGAAAGATACAGTTTGTGGGGTTAGGTTAACTGGGGATTACGCAGAAAATGCACTTCAGAAAAGGCCCCTGAGATCAGCACAAAAACTATTTTTTTGTATTAACATGCAAACTAACTTCAATTCAATTCAATAAAAAATTTAATTGAGCAGATTTACTGTTAAGAATCATATCATAAACCAGGATTTTTTTTATCAGGGAAATCAGAGAGTGTCAGACTGGGAATTCTTATATTTGGTCAATTCACGTTTTGACCCAAAAAGCAGTTTTCCAAGTGTGACAAGCAGCATACCCCTCTCATCCCCCAGTAGTTTTGGTTTTCATATTTATCTCCCGGCTTTATGAAAGGAAAGGTGCCATCATAGCCACTCATGTAACCAGCCAGCCCTATCAGCATCTGCAACAGAGTGCCAAAGGTCAACAGGTACGGGACTGAAGAGCCTTGCATGAAGACAGACCAAAGACATACTCTGACATCTCACCTTCCCAAGAGGAGGGTGGACATCAAAGAAGAAGGTCCTGTTGATGTAGTAGCTCCCCATTTTTCCAAAGTGAGTCTCATCCCAGCTGAAAGACCCAAATCACTCATCTTGTAAACAAGACTCAGAGTAAGCATTGCTTCATGGAGTAAATGTCACTCACCACACATGAGGGGGCTCAGTTATCTTGTAGAGGCGTGTAGAAAAAGACAGCCCTGCCACCAGCATCAGCAGCACTTTGCTTGGAGACTCAATGCTTTCTCTAGCCAAAAACTGACCAGATGGTCCGTTTGAGGACTGTGTGTCACCTCCTGCTAAGTGTCCAGCAGTTTGACTGTTCTTGTCCTTGGACACAGGAGTGAATGTGGTCTGAAAGCTCTTTTCTGATGTGGGGCACGTTTTCCTGTTCCGTAGTGCTAAGGTGTTCCACTTTGGAGAGCATTCTGCTTTTGCCATTAGGAAAATAACCCTGTAATACAAACGACTAGATCCCTTTCCCACCAGGTAAATCAGTATTTGGGTGATACTACCTAACCATATGATATGTGGTGATACCTAACTGCGCTGTCAGGGGGCGAGGAGCTAGACTCAGCACGGATATTAATAGGAAGAAACGTTTGAACAGCTAGCAGCACTTCTCAAAGCTGTGTGTCAAAACAGGCGATACCGACAGTGAACGTCACACCTACTCTACTCAACAAATTACAACACATGATATCAGTTACACTGTCCCCAACTTAATGACAAATTTCTTCAATAACCCCCTCTCTAACTTTCTAGCTAAGTACGCCGCTGGTCCAATGGCGACATTTAGAACGATATTAGCTAGGAGCTAACAGTCTACAATTACCGCTTAATTAATCAGTGGTTTTACATTAGGAGCAGCCCGACACCTTACGGGAGGTTGTAGCTCGAGTCAATGAAACATGTTTGAGACACGCTGGCTTCTAGGAGATGTATTTCTGTGTAATACATCCACGTATTTATGTGGACGATGGACGATGAAAGAATAAACTAAATTTCCCAAAATCCTTCTGGGATGTCGTAGGGATACCTACGGATCCCTGAAAGGGTCATGTTGGCATGTTAGGAATTTTTCTTTGAGATTTTTCTAAAATATTGTTTGTTAATATTGTTTAATATTGTGTTTGTACATTTCTGTTTTCCTTAATACACTCATGGTATAATCACCAGATCAGGGAGCCGCTTTTTAGACTGCGAATAAACGCATTTAAAATCTGACCAATGTGGAAAGGCGTGAAGTAGGTGTAGTTCAGAAGTAAGCCCACTAGAGGGAAATATAGTATAATAAGTACGTTTAATTAATAAGAGAACATCTCACGGTTAACACAGTATGCACTTGCTGACCCCACACTCGTTAACCTAGTGGATACACGTTTTTTAGGAACTGGATTTGGTCCATCACTGATCAGTCTTGCGCTGCAATGTTGAATCATTTTTCTTTGACATTTTAAAGCTTTTAATTTACCACAGTTTGAAGAAAAACTGTCAGCATGTTTGTGTTCATTTCTGTCAACCCCTGCATTCAAAACAAGTGTAATAATTTAAATAAAATGTTATTTTGTCATAGATTATCCTAACAAATAGTTGTCAAAACAAAAGGAAAAGTATTATATTGTGTATATCTTTATTTAGCTTTATTTTGTATTTTTAAACGTTTAAGAAATTTGTAGTACAGTAGAAACAGGTGCAAATTGTAGGCTTTTGTTATGTTTTGAGTACAATTATTATTTTTTTATTTTATTTACGTGGCTATAGCTATATATGGGTAGCATTCAATTGATTTCTTAATAAAATTCGATTAAATGTTTAGTAATAATTCAATTCAATTCAATTTTATTTGTATAGCGCCAAATCACAACAAAAGT